GGAAATAGTTACTAAGTCAGTGCTAGTCATGGATTGATCCGCTTCGTGGTGAGTTGAAGAATCTTTAATCTGCGCATTTTCACCATTTGAGCAACTCTTGTTAGGTAATGGAGTGGAATATTCCGAAGATTTTAAATCATTAGTAACTTTTCGATTTTGCTTTTCAATATTCTTAACAGCTCGTCTCAATTCAGCAATTTCAGCCTTGAGCTCGACATTTTCCGTTTGACTTAACTTTGCAGTCTGCTCCAATTCCACAATTCTAGCCATAAGCTCATCTTTTTCTTTCACAGTTTGTTCCAGTTCCGAGATTCTAGTCATAAGTCTGGCATTCTCTTGTTTGAGTAAATCTAGTTCGGATTGCATATTTAACGATAACTTTTATACAAATGCGAATTATTCAAATGTTATTTATTATCATAGATAAAAACCATGACATTTTGTCATCGGAATTATATTTCTTATTGTCTTATTGCGAATCACTTATCTAGAATACGCGAAATGCAGTAATACTTAGCAAAAATTGTATTGTGATTGTGGATTATAACTTATTTCGTGATGTCTCAATTAATATTCTGAAAATGAAATTAAAACTTTAAGCAATTACATTACTTGCATTTTTATTACAATAATTACATGACGTTTTACTAAACAGTTACAGTTGGTATGTAGTTTGCATTGCCCCAATTATCTATTTTTAACTTCAATAATTCTGTGACTTTTTAATCACAATTCATACATGATAATTTTCACGTTTACCTTTCTTTATTGGACTTGATGAAGGTGTACCGAACAATCCGGATTGCTCGCTGTAAACTGGAATTTTCCTTTTGCGTTCCCTATGTAAACGTGAGTCGGAAAGCGAGACACCATTTGTGTGATCACAAATTATTTTCAACGTGGACTGAAATAATATGAATATAATAGTGAGATCTTGAATGTGCCAACTGCAACGATAGTAAGCATATATTACCTTGATGTCCGACATAGTAGCATAAAAGCCTTCAAGAATTGCAAGCGTTTTTAAAGTATTGGGCATCTTTTTCTGAGAAAGTCTTCCTAAGCGTTCTACATTTGTAGCCTTACAGTCCATGCCATAAGTTTCGTGGATCCACCCTTAGCATAAGAATAAAAGTTAATCACAAAATTCGAAATTTAATTATTTTATTTTTTACCTACCCCATGATTGAATTCCAAGAACATATGTACTATGAAGATCATTTCCAGATGCATTAGGATTTGTTTTGAAAAAATTATAAAGAACATCGCGCATTGCTACGGAAAGATCAGCTCTATCCTCGTGAATTTTTTTTGCGATGTGCAACAGGGAGACCACCGCTTCTAAGGCCAATAATGGCTTCAAGGTTATTAATGCTATTTTTCAAAGTACCCCGAAAATCGCACTTTTGGCCTATGCGTGCTCGGAGGACTATTGAGCGTCCTTCGTTTCTTCGACGGGCAGAAGCCCAACAAGCAATTTCCCCGCTATAGGATTGTAAGAAAAAAAATTAATTACTACTTAAAGATTTGGCCATTGTATTCTTATTTATACCTACACGTCCATTTTGAGATCACGTTTGTTTAAAAATCTTTTTGTTAACATATTTGGAAATGAATTGTCAAAGTCAGCTTCTGACATGGGAACTTCAAGATCCTTCAAATTTTCGGCACTGTGATAGAAGATTGGAAATTTTAGATAAAATTATGTGATGTACTGTAACCTATCAAATGTTAATAAAAGGAAATAATTATTATATTTAACTCACTAGGTAATAACGGCACGTCTTAATCCATTAAAGATCTCCTTTTCCTCATCACTGAATTTGACTTTTCTATTTTTTTCTATCATCTCCGGAGTCAAATCATCAATCGCATTGATGATATATTCATCATCTTTTTTGGTTATCTAAAAATATGTGTATCAGCAACATTTTAAAAAATAATATAATAAGACAAATCTTTTATCACCTTTTCTACTTCATCGAAAAAATATTCAACAACATTCGGTATATCTGATTCATCTAACTTCACGTCTTTTTTGAAGCTTTCGTTTATTTCTTCCCAGTCATCCGTTGAAAATAAAGATTTTATTTGGGTATCTTCTGTTAAATCGAGAATGTTCCAGTACGCGAGGCTATAAAGAAATTCTAAGATTAAATATAGTCATCACTAACTTTTATGGCCTCTGCCAATTCAAAAAACTTACTTCAAACATTTATGAGCCTCAGGAATCGTCTTAACATATTTTGCTAATTCGTCTCCAACGTTGGTACCGCTATTGAGACCCACGATCGACGAGTAGTTGGTTGATTTTCTTCTGTACGTTCTATGAAATTGTCACCATCGCCGATATCATCTCTATAAACCTTGCCGTCATTATCCTTGCTTA